ATATTCAGATTATGGCAATATGTCTGTCATTGATTGGGAATCAAAATAGTGCTTTATAATATGGAGATTTAGTCATGAGGGAGAAGTTTTACTAAGCAATAGATGACAGATATATCAGATACATAAAGCAATAATCTGTCCCACATTCTTAACACCCTTTTGAGCTTTGCATGGTCTGGCATTTGCAGAGTTAATATATTGGGAAATTACTGTTGCTGCATTATTGATAGAGAGTGTAGGCATTTCACAATATAGTTACGTTTGAATTCCAGCCTCATTCCAAACCCACTTTATCAGTTGTTTATAACTTTTGGAATGACATTTTTCCATATTTAGTCTTTAAACGAAATATGTGATTCTTTGGACAGTGTTGCGGGTGCAGAAAGGAGAAAGAGCTGTAAGCTCAAGCAACTCAGCCTTTTTTTGAATTATTCTAGCATGAGAAGTGTTTTCCCCCCATATATTCTGATTAGAAACTTGGTAATTTGAAACAATTATAAGCTACAAATAACTAACTTAATTTGTGGCCGGCTTTTACAATCTTTCACTCACGAGCAGAATCTCAGTGATTTCAGTGGGATTACTCATCTGTAAGGATTCACACAATCAAGACTTTGTGATGTAGTTCTCAATACAATTTCAGGTTCAAGTCAAGTTTGAAATTAATTGGTTCAGCAGGTTTCAAATGCGGAATATCTTAAAATTGACACGTATCTTGAACTGGGACAATCTTAAGAACTGCAGATCATATCCTCAGCTGGTGTAACTCAGCACAGTTCCATTATTTTATTGCAGCAGCACCTCAGAAGCCCAGTCATGAACTCAGTAGGCCATTGTGCTAGGCGCTGTACAAACACAGAACAAAAAGATCCCTTCCCCAAAGAGTTTACACTCCTTGTTACTACAGCAATTTACACCAGCTGATGATCTGGCCCTGGAAATTTCGGTTGAGCCAGAGAGACCCCAAAATCTGGCATGATTCGGAAGGCTTGGCTAAGCGTGACTGGCTTATGGAGGCATCAAGCCAAATAGCTCCTGATCAATTAAATTACAAGATCCACAATTTGAATAGTTGAAGTGTATCTTCCCCTTTCAAAACAAAACAAATCAAGACAATTCCATGCCTCAAACACTATATTTAATATAATGTTATGTTTGGGGTACCAAGCACTTGGGTGTCAAAAAAAAACCCCAACACATGTAAAACTGAACACTCGGCCTTAGTTTTGCTTCTTTTTGTTTATGACTTAAAATATGGTCTGTCTTTAAATATATATTTGTCAAATAATGCCATATATAATATAATGCCATACAATTACATAAACTTATGCTTACATAGTTAAGCACTAAAAAAGATAGAAAATGAAAAGTGAGGTTGAATATAGTCTTTTGTAACATGATCGCACACTGTTTCTCAGATTATATTATCTTTTTCTACAAGTTAGCATCTAGGCTGCAGCTTGTATATGCTTTTTTATAATGGATGCAGTACATTCACGAATGTCACAATGATATTCTTAAAAAGACACAGGAGTACTTGTGGCACCTTAGAGACTAACAAATTTATTTGAGCATAAGCTTTTGTGAGCTACAGCTCACTTCATCAGATGCATCCACTGCATGCATCCGATGAAGTGAGCTGTAGCTCACGAAAGCTTATGCTCAAATAAATTGGTTAGTCTCTAAGGTGCCACAAGTACTCCTTTTCTTTTTGCAGATACAGACTAACATGGCTGCTACTCTGAAACCAATGATATTCTTTTTATCTATGGATGTTATATTTGTATTCTCTTTAAAGTATATATTTCAGCACTATAGTAGACAAACTAAATTAGATAGAAATACATAATGTGCTTTATATAGTTGACATTAAAATAAATACCTCAAAATAAAGCGTGTTTATCATAAAAATTGTATGTAGCCTTAATTTTGATTTGAATTCTTTTCATGGAATTGTAAATTGCACTATGTAACAAATATAAAGACCATATTTTAAGGCATAAGAACAAGGGAGCAGAGTTTGGATGAGCAGCCAACCTTAACTCTGCTTTTTTTCTGGTGTTTGAGTTCTTGGCTCTTCAACCTTACTGTTCCGTTAACCCTCATGTTTGGAATAAAATAGTAGCTTCATGATCTAAATGTTTGTGTTGAACTTAGTTTATTGACAGTTTTGTGGGACTTACCCTTATAATCAGAGAAAAGTAGACTTCTTTATATATATAGAGAGAGAGAGTTCAATCAAAAGCTATTAAAAAGTCCATCTTGGGCGTTTGGCATTGTTATTGCACAGTGTTTTTTTGTTGTTGTTTTTTTTAAGACAACCATTAGTTATTTCCTTCAATTGTAGCACTGTATGTTTTTAAATGAGATTTTATTGGTGGGAGGAAATTTATAACCCAGCACAGCAGATTTATATTTAACATCAGTTGACATTTACTGTAAAATTCTAACTATTGGCACAAAGTATCAGTCTGGTTTCTGCCACTTCTGTGGGAAAATGGCTCCTAGCTTGTTCCAGTGTGTTCTAATTTCACCATCCTGCTGGAGATGAGTTACATCTCTGTGCTAACAAACAGCTGGAGTGCTATGTTCATACATATGTAGCAGCAAAGCTATCTGCTTAAGAATCTCTTAAGAAATATTTTTTGTATGGACGTAATCAACAAAGCGGATGCAGTGGAAGAATTTCGTTAAACCAAAAAAACACCAATCACAAAACAATGGAGCAAATCCTGCTCTTTTTACTCAGACAAGTCTGCTTGACTTAGGTGCCAGAAGATGGCCACAACATAAAAACCTAAGCAGATAGAATGGGAGCTTTGCTTTAGAAAGGACAGCATCTATTTCCTCTTTGCTTTGATTTCTATAGAGCCAACCTCAAGATTTTTTGGACACTTTAAAATTTAAAATGACCATTTTTCATATAAACTGAAGTAATGTATTCATGTTATTCAGAATCTTAGGAAATCCCCATAGTTAAATCACTGGGCAAAAAGCAGCAAAAATGAATAATAATCAGCCCAATTAAACCCAAATCAAACTGACTGTCTCCCTACCCAAATCAAACCCACTCCTTTCCCAAAGGCTTGAAAAAATAGCATGCCTGGAAAGTTAACAAATCTGGCCTTTGTGGCAGAGCAAATTCCAAAGTCACTTAGGCCATGTCTGCACTTACAAGCTTACACAGTTGTATTCGTACAGTTGTTGTCATGATTATATTTATTTTTATTGCAGTGGCACCTATAATGTGCAACGCACTGTGCACACAAAGGGAAACATAGTCCCTGTTCCAAAGATCTTATGATCTACACTAGCAATATACAAAGGGCTATGTTGATACAGTGAAAATAAATACACTTTAATAAAAAATAATTATCCACTATCCCTAACTTCCCCCTCTACCCAGCTATTATTGGCTGGCTAGTTTCCTGCAAGTGTCACAGAAGAGGCATAGTTGCCAAGTTTTGTGAAGTACTATGTGACATTTTAGGCTGATTTTTAATTAGCTTATTTTCAGAGAATTTGAATTTTAGCTTTAAAAAATTGTATGGATTTAATTTATTTAAATATTCTCTATTTCTGGAGGGCGTTGAGCAGTGACATTAATCCACCAAACAGAAACCATGCTAAGTGTAGTAACCTTCTCCTCAATCTAAAATGTAGTACATTCTTGTCCCTTGGATAGCTTCTAAGCATGGCCAAAAAACCACTTTGAACTGTGAGAATTTGTTACCACACCTTGCCACGCTCACTTATAAAATATGCTTATCTGAAAACATTTACAGAATCAAATCCTGCTAGCATAAAGTCAAACCCCCATTGAAACCAGTGGGTGATTTGCCTGAATAAGGGCTGCAGGATTTGATTCTAAGCATATGTACAAAATAAACCCCATTAAGAATCTCATTAACTATATTGTAAACTCTCTGGGGCAGTGTACCAGGGTTTATAGGCCTTTTAAGGCCAGAGCACGAGGTCTTGGGTGGCACGCTACCCTGCTCAGGAGTTGTGGGGCAGACAGAGAACCAGGGAACAACAGTGACAGACACTGAGAGACAGGGCTGAAGTGTTCCATTGACTTCAGTGGGAGCTGGATTGCACTCAGACCTACTTCCACAGCCTTCATATTAATCCTAATTTTAGTCATAGAAAGTTTTCAAAGTCTATTATTACTGTATTTTTGGTAATTACTCATGGCCTTGATCAGGGATCAGAGCCCATTATGCTAAGGGCTGTGTAGCCCTGACTTACAAACACAGTCCCTGCCTCAGAAAGTAAATGATCTTGATTTATGAGAAGATGCAACAGATGGATGAAACAAACAGATGGGAGAAGGAGTTAACAGTGATGAGCAGGAGGTAACAAACAAGTTACTTATGTAAAGCAGTAGCCACACATCACCACCTGCCCAGCCATGGTCAGCTGGGTATTACAGCGGAAGTGAGTTATGGAGGGATTTGAAGGAGGATAATGTAATATAGCGTGCATGAAGGGATATTAAATTGTAGAAGACACACACCAATATGATTCAAGGCTTGAGAGTATTTCAGTACATTGCATGGGAGTGCGGAAATGATTTCAAGATGGTCCTGCAATAAAAACATTGCTTGTTTGATTGTGTGTGTATGTGTGCGCACGCATGTGTTTATTTATAGTTAAATTTTATATCAACCCTACACCAAAGAGCTCTCATCCAAACCTGTGTGTTTCTGTCTGTCTGTATTACATGCATGATTACACTGAAATGCATATACCATCATCATAAGCCACAGACATACACATAACAGGACAAATTCACCGCAGGTTCAGTAATTCGACCTAGTCAGTTGTTTGAAAAAACCCTTCAGTAAACACAACTCTGAATGTTGTTAGGAAAGATAAAATATTTGGTTCACCTAGTTAAATTTAAAAGAATTAAATGTTCTTTTAAAGTTCAACCATTTTCTGATAAATTAGTTGCTATCTGGTTCTGATTTTGATTTGTTTGGATTATTTTTCAGGCAGAAATTTTAACAGGCATCCCAGTGGGCAGCCCTGAAGATGCTGGGAAGGTGGGACTCGTGCTATTAGAAAGAGGCTGCAAACTAGTAATCGTTACTCTGGGAGCAGAAGGCTGTGTGATGATATCAGTGGATGAGCCTATTCCAAAGCATGTTCCTGCTGGGAAGGTCAGGGCTGTGGACACTACGGTATGTTTTTGTGGTTTAACTGTCTTGCCTTGGAAAAGACTACTTAAGCACTAAAGCAAAGCAGTGAGTAATCAACCAAATCCCTGGCCACTAGCGCAAAGGCTAATTTATAATGTGAAACTGATATGCTGCTTCCAGCCTGTTATATATCAAATGCCCGTTCACTCAAGTTTTATAGGCTGTGCTGTAGATATGCTAAAGTTATTGTATACACGGATGATATCTTCATTTTCCTTTGTCGCTGGAGTTGGTACATTTCTTTCTCTCTCGCTCACTCCATTACGGATGAGGTCCGCAGCATCAGCAGCCCTATAGTTGTCACCTTTGCACAGTCATGTAATTAATCATCTCCAGAACTGAAATGACCCTGCAGTTAGTGGAATGGGAGAAAGGAGAGACCCAAGAATTCTTCCCTTCACGTAATGCATGAGGGTCTCTTCCTACACAAGTCTGAACTGCTCCCACAAAGTCCCTTAGTTAGTCCAGCATAAGTTGCACCAGGTGCTCAACTTCTATAGAACACAGAAAAGGCAGCAATAATATGTTGTGACCAATCATTTTATGATAGGTAAGGATTAAAAGGTCAGTGACCAGGTATGCTTTATAATTTTTAGGGTATTTTCCCCCCTTCCTACTCAAAATGAAATGTAGAATACCCTACCTTAACAGAATTTAGGACTGCTAATTGAACCACAAATGAAAAGCAACAGTTAAAAGTTCTCATAGCAAAATTATATTATCACATTGTGTATACTAGGACATTTTGTGCTCAGTTACATCTGATATAAATCCAAACTATATCTATTGATGTTACTGAGAGTGGAATTTGCCTCACTGTATGTACTAACTATATGTTTAGCTGATGAATGTAATAGAATACTATTACATATGTTCTGCCACAATAATCCATTATAGAAACATTTGGAGATTTGACCATCTGGTGCCTCACATATCTGAAATGTATTAATAATAATATCTAGTTTTTATATAGTGGTTTTATCAGTAGATTTCAAAGTGCTTTACAAAGGAGGTAAATATCATCCCCATTTTAGATGGGGAAACTGAGGTATGGAGCGATGAAGTGACTTAGCCAGGGTCACTCAGCAGGCCAGTGGCAGAGCTGGGAATAAAATCCACTTCACTCAAAGCAGAGGATCATTATGACCAGATTTGCATTGTGATGTATTGATACTATTGTATGTCAGATTCTTCTCCCTCTCCCCCTGGCCAAGAAGTCACCTGAAGCTAACGCTAATGATTGGAATATCCTGAGGTTTTTATGATGACTCAAATCATTATTCTTATTGGAGACAACATTGTGTTGCAGATAAACCATAGACCAGGAATTAAGAGATGACTGACATTCTATTCCTGACTGTGCCATTGAGTTTCTGTATGATCTTGGGCAAATCATTTAATCTTTCCATGCCCAAGGTCCTGTTGTAACAGTGTCTTTTCACAACACAGCACACAAAAGTGAAGAAGAAATGTGTGAATTCCCTTTTCAAAAGAAGCCCCAAATTACTGTCAGATCAGCTAATATATGATATCTAAAGTGATTTGCTGCTGGTGGGATAATATATCAATACTGAAACCACACACTGTGCTGAGAAGTGCCTTTTATCTTGCTTGGCAGTTCAGAACATCATGAGTTGACTATATTAACTGTGGAACCTCTAGTTCAGACAAAGTGTTGGTGGCCCTGTGTTTTAAGTGCCACAATACTGCCAACCCCAAGTGTTCAAAAATAACGACATACGCTTAAAATCATGAGACTTTTGAAAAAAACCACCTGTTAATTTCTTTTTATTTGCCTTTTGGAGTCTGAGCCTTTAGTAGGGTGCACTCAAGTCACATTTGCAAGCTTTACTCTGCAGCCATGCGAGCTAGAAAAAAATTAAATGAAAGCTAACATTCTAATGCAATATCTTGATTCCAGCAAATGGGGCTTTAAGCAGCACACCAAATATTGCGAGATTCCTGATAAAATCACGAGAACTGGCAATGCTGGTACCAGACCAGGTCCTATAAGCCTGCTGTGACCTCTAAGTGTGGGCAGCAGCCTGAAGCTGTAGCTACAGTAACGCTGCCATCATTATTGAACTGCCACCAGTTCAGCACCTCCAGTGGTAGCAATGATGAAAATTTTTGGCAATTTTTGTGTAGGCCCAGACAAAACATGTGTGGAGCTTAACAGAGCTCTCCCAGTGGTATGGACAGGTCTCCCCACCCCATTAACAAATCTCATAAGACACACTAAGGACCAAGCAGACCATAGAGTCTGAACTCTCCTCTCAGTCCTAGAAATGGTCCCTCTAGATCAGGATTGAAGCCCATCTGCAGAACAATGGGAAAAGCTTGCACCACTGGCATGCCAGCAGTGTGGATAAATAGGCATATCAGCCTTCAGGCCTGAGAATCTGACATTTTTCACCCACACTTTATAAAGAAAAAAATAACTCTGTGGAATTTCTTTGTCCCTAATTACCTAAGTGAGGGCTTTATTAAAGTATCTGATACATCCTATGATTGCTAGCAGATTTCACCGTAGGCAGTATAATATATCTAGAGCACCAATAGTGATTTAGAAGGAAGTTTTGCAAGACAGGGTGTTGTAAGACCCAAATGTCTCTTTCTCCTGTTACCGTGACATACTGTAACAAATCTCTATTGGAATGAATTGGCTTTCTTTTCAGTTTACTTGTTCTTGCTAACTTTGTATATAGCTGAATTTCAGGAACACTGTATTAGGTAACCATCCAAAAGTAATATCCAGTTTTTGTGATTTGAGAAGAAAATAAAAATATATACAGCCAAGCCACTTAATATTAGCTACTGAGCACACACGCTGAGGGATTTTAGGTCAGGTGTTCTCAAGTGAGATTAATTTATGAAATAACATAATACGCTCCAGAGGATCAATTATGTCTATTTAAAACTACATTTATGGATTCTCCTTACCTATTTTTAGAGGAAGCTATTTTTCACCTTACTTGAAATGACATTAAATACACAGCACTATACTGATACACCTTTAAAAGATCATGATCTTCCATTTATATAGCATTTTTTATTCAGATGGGCACCAGAACACTTCATAAGAGTTACTAAAATTATACAAACCTTTACATAGAAATAGATAACACATAATGTGTATTGTGTGTATATCTACATTATGTCTCATACTGCCAACTACTGAAATGCATCCCACTTCAGATGGGCTGCAAAGGTACACAGTAGCACTATGTAACAGTGTAAAACAAGAACTGACAAGTATCAGGCCAAATCTAGAAGTGATGTATACGGAATGTATCATTATGTTGAGCAACAATATAATGTACTTTCTGAGAGCTAGACTGACTGTGGTTATGATGATAGCCGCTGCCAGTCCTGGTGGTAGGAACGTAAAAAGTTGTCCAAGCTGGAAGGTTAGGGTGGTACAAATGGGCCACAACTTCATCTGCACTGCGGAGTGTATGGATTCAGTGCAGCCTCTGCTGGTGTATAGCAACAGCAACAAAAAAGTCTCCCACTCTATCTTTCCATTTTATCTTTTTAAACCCTCCTTTTATTATCTCCCCCACTATTTTCCTCTTCTATGCCCATCCACTAAAGTGTAATTTACAGAACCATTTGCATCACCTCATTATATTCCATTGAAACCGCCAAGGTATATAGGTCAGGAGGATATAATTATCCAAGCTGGAATATGGCCAGAACTGGGACTACCATCTTTCCTCTTTGTGAAAAGTATCACAGTATCTTTTAGGGCTGCATTTTTGGTAACCTCCATTTGACTTCTAAATTTGCACTTTGCAATTTTCTGTGCACAGAACCCCACATTCAGGCACCTAGAATCAGGTAGTTAGATGTCTATGTCCCTAACTTATACATCCAAATACTGTGTGCGCTTACAAATGGGGTGGGTTTGTGCACACACAATATTTAATGGCAAACTTATAGCCATTTTTCAAAATTGTGCCCATAATAATCACGAGACGTCAAAGGTGTCTGTTTTATGTCATGCAAAACACAGCATCTCTAGCACCATGGTGCCCTTTGAGTGCAGCTACTGAATTTCTAGTACCGCTTCCTGCACTACCAAGGCTTTCCATAGAGATCTCGCATGTCCCATCCAAGTACTGACAAAACTCAACCCTACTTTGAAATAAGAGCTGTGGGGATCACAGGTTGAGGTGACGTGTGCTCATAAACAGGAAATTCACTTATGACCTAGGATAAAATTCCAATTTTTCCCTGCTCAGTCATGCCTACTACTTGCAATAAGTGTATAATGTATCCTGTATAGTCACCCTTGCTCTGAGATTCCATCGTTATCTAGGAAAGATTATGGATGCTGTTTGTCATCATTCTGAATTTCTGTGCCATAAATATTAATATAATTTTTTATAACAAGATGCAAAGGGAAAGCTCATTGTTACAATGTGAATTTGTCCCCAGTTGTATTAGTTTTTCTTCTGGTTTCTGGTTACAGTGAATTAAATCTTGCCCTCGTTTGCACTGTTGAAATGTGGTAAAGATAATGCATTTAAAGAAATAGAAAGCACATTAAGAGTGACTTTGTCCTGAACTTTGAAGTTGTCATGAACTTTATTTTTCTATTAAAAAAAAAAAGACTGATGTAAGTAGATGGTTATGCCCTATTAGATAGGCCACAATACCTATGATTACAGTTTTCTATAGTGTAATTGTTGTCTATTGAAGGCAGTGTGGTCTAGTGATTAGACCAGAGGACTGAGTAAGGAGTCCTGGATCTGCCACTGGCTTGCTATATAAACATGGATGAGCCACATAATATCTCTGAGTTCCATTTTCACCATCTGTAAAATGGAGATATTAATTTATGTGTATTTAATACAGGAAGTCTACGGCAAAGGCAAGAACAGAACCTAGGAATCCTTATTGCTAGAGTTGTCCCTTGACTTCAAGACAATTCTTCTCCTCCTGTGGCCTTATGGAAACTCTGAGCTTTTTCCTCT